CAGATACATTTATCATATACAAATTCATACATATACTTCTTTGATCAATGGGGCATGAACTCGGCAATGTAAACTTGGTTAAACCTTGGTTAATGTTTTCAATATGAAAAAAATGTAATCATACACTAGCAAGGAATCCAGCTCCGCTGGAATAGATAGGACATCTGTTATATATGTGACATGAATCCTAAAGAATTAGTTGTTTGTTTTCAACATTCAGTAGTGATGATGTATATTTTTCAAATCGTTTGTCTGAAATTCATAATGTCATTTTAGTGTAGAGATTGATAGTTATACCTTGGAGATCATCAATATCCACAAATACTTTTTATGACAATGGGACATTGTCTTTGTATATACCCTTTCTTTTATTGGTAACAAAAGTGATATAAGCAGATGGTCTCTCATATCCCATATTGTTGCAATTATTATCACTGTATAGGAAGTTATAGAAAGGCTTCTAATCAAAATCTTTTATGTATAACTTGCAAGATGGCAGGGTCAGTAAGGAATCTCTTGTATTCTTTCATGGTCTAAATGTTTCTTTCTTCAGATCCTCTAGGAACTTCGAGTGGAAGGTGTTCTGGATTATTTGACTCCTCACAAAGTAAGTTCCTGCTTGCTGCTCTACAGTTACCTAGCATGCTAGGTGAAAGTCTGCAAGAATTCACCAGCAACCATCCAGCCTTGAGCTGCTGCTACCAACTCTAAAGCCATATACAGTCGGCCAGCTTCTATCTTTGTATGATCACTAGGTCGTGGTGCAGGGATTTATCTGGGGAATCGGGAGATTGCCATTTCCTTGGCTCACAAGCCATCTTGACCATTCTTTTTCTTCTGGGTTTACTTGCATGTATGGAATTTCTTAGCTCAATTCTCAACTTTTGAAGAAATTCTTCTTGATCTCATAGGATCCCTTTATAAGGTCAACATTAGCCTCCCCAGAAATTATCCATTAAAGCCTCTCAAGATAATGTGGAAAGGAGGAAGAATTCAAAGGTTTTATCTCTCTTTGAAAAATTTAGGTGGTGTTTTAAACGTGAATCTATCACTGCAACATTCTTGAAAACTCTCAAGGAGAATTAAAGTCCAGCTCTTACAATTTCCAAAGTTTTGTCTTGATTTGTGCATTGCTGGGTGAGCCAGATCCTTGTGATTTTTCTCTTTCTTTTTCTTGAACTTATTTCCTTGTAGTTGATCCTTTGGTGGGAAGTATAACCTGTGAATATTTGTAGCTTCACATCTTATTCTGGAAGATGTCAGTTGTACGATTGTGGAAGAAGATGTAGAATAGAAAACATTTTTTTGTCCATACAGAGATCAAGGATGCGGTAGTGATAGGAAAGTTGAAAGGTCTCAATGTGGATCTCAAAAGTACAGGTAATGATCTGGTCAAATTTACTGGAAGGTAGAGAGTTCTTTTTTCCAAAGAACAACTTATCATCTGTAGACGTTTTCCAGGAGAATGACTTGTAAATGCCATTGAGTGGCTTCAAAGGGCCACGAGTTTCAAGACACAAGTACAGTAAACATGTTGATTTTGTTCCATTTCAACGTGTCAATTGAGTTATTTCTTCTCGTATAGGGAATTGACTATTGACTATCTCAAGTATGAAAAATCAGCCTTCTCATGCTCAGTATGCAAAAAATGTTTGCATCTCAGAAATGGAGCAACACCGCCACAAAACCTACTGAGTGAGGCTCTCAACAAAAGCAAACATCCCATCTTCTATGAGATGTGTGAATGGTAATTAAAATTTTTTCTTGCTATCTCTTGCATTTCCGGTGGAGCTGGGATCCCTGCTATTTACACTTGATATTCCTGAGAGCGTCAATCAGATCACCATTGAAGCTTTTCGTCCTTACGCGATGGAGATACTCCATCCTACTGCGTATTTGTCGTATGTAAACACGAAGCTCACTTTTGTCCATTCCATTCTCAGAAGATATCATATTCAGTGATAGATGGAACGCATGGAAGTTTTTTTTCCAAAGGGTGATGAACTAGACACGGAAAAGAAAGCGTGAAAGCATTATATATAACTAAGGATATAGTCCTTCACCTGACAATCTCTCGGCTTAAATCTGAGTTTCGAAGGGAGGAACACAAGCAACAAGGCTTTATATGCCGACATAATCATATTCTCATCGTCGTGCTCTTTTTACAGTATCACCATCCTCCAGCTGGAAGAATTAAACTTATGAAAGAAAGAAAAGAAAACGGACCAAGTACCTTGATGATGGATTTTTTTTATCTCGTTGCTTTAAAGAGAGAGCACAATATTTTTAAAATGCCTCTTCCATTTCCCGAGTCTAGGTGGGATGACAAGTCCAAAACTGCAAGTTGAAATCTTTGGAACACGACAAGTTAACAAGTTCTGAAAGTTAAGAATGATGCTTGTCTTTCTCTACTACATCGACAAGCATTCCTCCAAGTACAGTGACAAGAAGATCCAACCTCATCCCTTTTTGTGACTCGCAAGGATAATTTGACTTCCTTTATCCACCGATGCCAGCGAGAACTTCAGGAGTTCTAGCAAAATGCCAGTTCTCCCATGCTCTGTCTGTCTGTCTTTCAAAGCGCGTCCTACCTCAAAACTATGGAGAATTTTCAGTACTGCAACTTGTTGGCCCCCGATAGATGCAAGAAAGATAAGAGAGTGAGTCAGCCGATGAAAGAGAAGGAGAGGCTCACAAGTAATCTCTTCTGTAGATGATAGAGTAGCTTCTTGAAGAGCGTGACTTTCGATCAAGGTCTGATATGGAGACTGGTGCGTCATGTTCATCTGAGGGGACAGGGAGACTGAGGCTCTGAGAATCCAAAAGTCGATTTCTTTGCGAAGGTACCATCAAGAAAGAAAATCCAGGTTCCAAGTGCCTTAAAAAGAATTCCAGTGACATGAAGAGGAAGGATGGGTGAGGTGGCAAGGAACCTGCCATGTACACCCTGGATTGGGAGAAATCCCATTGCTTCTGCTGCACCGCCACTGTGAAAGAAAAAGAGGAGCACGGCAAAGAAGTCTCGCCTCAACAAGCAAAGAGAGCAGCCTAGTAATCCCATCTCGATCCGCAAGCACTCCTTGAGCTCCAGCAGCTGGAGCAATTGCTTGAGGCCAAGATGAAGGAGAGGTGGAAAGAATGCGTGGAATGCTTCATACACACGTGGCTTACCCCATATGTTACATACCTTTTGATCCCTGTAGCAATCAAAATGTGACTTTCATATGTTTATAAACATTGTAACTGTCGTTCTCGCTGAAGGCTCGTTCCCATTCACTGCCTATTGATCCTTTCTCTTTTGTTGTCTCCTGATGCGCTCCATGTTTTAAATCTTCAATTTCTACATATCACAAGGAGCGCTGATGCACAAGAGCAGTACCACATTAATATAAAGAGTACAACTTATAGCTACAATAAACTCTCATAAATACCAGCTAAAATTTACACATTACATTGGCACATTCCACACTCTTTTCTATTTCCTCACTCAATAACAAACTAAAAATAAACTCAACACTAAAAAGGATGCAAGAAAAAAATGATGTTAAAAGATTTCTTATCTTTTCTGATAAAAAAACAGTTGGTTCAACTGAACCCATGGACCAAATGAGAGAAAGTGGTTTAGCTCTAAACGTGACGTGGGTTTGGTCTCGCTGAATATGGATGACCAAGGGGAAGCGCAGAGGTCAGAAACGTTTCTGCGTTCAAATCTCGACAGCAGTTGTGCAACACCGAGGCATCAATGGAGGTCACCAGACTGGAATCCTCTCAACAAACAGCCGCACACACCGTTCGCCTCACTTAATTCCCATTCTTTACCGACAAAAGACATCGCTGTTGACAGCAGCAATTCTACAGCTTCCTCATCCGATATTCTATGCCCTCCAATGGGATCCTTTGCCGTCGGTAATCTAGACGAAACACAAGGTCAGTCAATTGATCCGTGGAAGAAAAAGCTTCCAATGAAGCTTGATTTGGCAGCTCTCAGCAGAAAAGTAGATGATCATCTATCTGAGGACAAGATGCCTAACCCTGACAGATCCGAATCCGACAATGACCTCCACCTTCGGCGCCAAAAGATGGCTATGTGCGATCGCCAGTGTACACGAGTTATGGGCCATCTCTATTTTGGCAGCAAAACAGTGGCGGAAAACTATGCAATGCTAAGGCGTTTTCGAATCACACATATTCTCAATTGCGTTGGAATGGTTTGCCCCAGCTATTTTCCAAATGATTTCTCTTACAAGACACTCTGGCTTCAAGATTCACCTTCAGAAGATCTTATTTGCGTGCTCTATGACGTATTTGATTTTATTGAGGATGTCCGAGAGCAAGCAGGAGGCAGGGTCTTTGTACACTGCTGCCAAGGGGTGTCCCGTTCGGCATCGTTAATAATTGCTTACGTTATGTGGCGAGAACGACGCAGCTTTGACCACGTATATGACGATGTCAAGCAGCGCCGAAGCGTGACATGCCCCAACATTGGTTTTGTCTTTCAGCTCACTCAGTGGCAGCAACGTGTGCTAGATGCCAATAGAGCAGCAGTCTCATGCAATACGGTGGCCATAATGTACCGCATGACACCGCATTCGCATTTTTGCCCATTGCAGCTTGTTCCGAAAGCTGTGCACGGTCCGCCTACTTCGGATGTACTTGACTCAAGAGGGGTGTTCGTTCTCCAGCTTCCCAACCGTCTTTATGTCTGGCGCGGCCGTGGCTCAGACAAAGCAATGGCAGCAGCTGCTGAACGAGCCGCATTCCAGCTTGTGCGGTATGAGCATGCTCAAGGACCCATTGTGGTGGCTGTAGAAGGAAGGGAGCCACCATTCCTGCTCAATGCACTAAGACGCGAGCATTTACTGTCCGGTCCAGATATAAATTCCCAGGCCCAAAGGGGCGCATTTGCTGAACATATCAATTATGCGGGCAAGGCACCGTTTGGTCTAAAGCTAGTCCGTGCATATGATGCAGACTTTGAGCTGTATAGACAAGGGCTTGCAGGAAACGGTGGGGCCTTGACTGTGGACTTTAATGCAGGATTGCAACCGCACCCCATTAGCAACTTTCCAGCGTCACCTCGAGTTGGAAGATGGAGGGTCATGCGCCCACAAATCAATCATATTGCAACAAGATGGTAGATATCTCTACACTAGGAGGGATTCCAGAAAGAAAAGAAGAAAAGAAAAAGTAAGATTTCTCCAAGGCAACATCAAGAAATTCCAGATGTCATATAAAAAATTATTACATAGTCTGTTATTAGAGTGTACCCCTCTTAAGCATACTGTTGCAAACTCATAAGAAACAAAATTGATGATTGTCCATTGCCTGTCCAATGAAGTGGAAAAGGAAAACGAAAAACAGACATATTTTTTCAAAGATAGAGGCAAGACACCCTGGGTCGCAACTCATAACTCGCACCATGTGCTCATTCTTGTAACTATTGTGCACCATCCCTCTTTTTTGTTCAATGATGATCCAGATGCTTGCAAGCTCTCATCTTCTCGCACACTTAGAGCTCCCAGCAACAATTCCACAAGAAAAGACAAAGCTCTTTAGTGTTTTTCTTTCTTTAAAACACTGAATCTTCACATAAACCTGTGGAACTTTTGGAGTTGCAAGTACAAAAAAATTAAAGATCACAAGTTTCCTACACCAAAGACCTTGTTCCACTTCCACATAGTAGTAATGTTTCTTTCACGATGAAAGACCAACTTGCAGCTTCTGAGTTCTAAGCTTTTCCACATAAATTTTGCCAGTCCTTGCTCCAGACATGCTAGACAAATTTCTCACTGAAAATGAATAAGAGTTCTTGCCCAAAATCATGTCTGGTGGCAATGGTGGAGGTCATGGCAACAATGGTGGAGGTGGCTGGAATAATGGCCAAGGATCAAAGAAGCTTCACATCACTAAGCTTATTGGAGATCAATGCTTCAAGTGTGGCTCTTTGGCTCACTGAAAAGAGGATTGTCCATTGTTGAAAAAAAAAAATGGAGCTGATGATTCCAACCAATGCCAACAAGTGCAGTGTTGGACAGAGATGCAAAGGAGTTTAAAGCCATTCTCTAAGGTACTGACTTTATGAGTAATGGCCCTCATAGCAAACTTACTGACGAAGATTAGACCAAGGCCAAGACCAAGTCCGCATCCAAAGTCCGAGTCTGAGTCCAAGGGGTGGAAGCCCAAAGTAATTGTCTCTCAGACCCTAGGGGGTTTGGTAAATCCCTACAGGATAGTAGGGGGAGGACTTTAGGGGAACCAATGTGGCCAAGGAAGGTCAATATGATCCGGGGGTGTACTTAAAAGATGAGTTGGTAGTTACATCTTGTATGGTTTTCATGCCAGGGTAATTCAGCAAAAATCCATGATTCATATTTATGGATTTCCTGTTTTGCGCTATTTGTAGCAGGTGGTAAAGAAAGGATGGAAACTACCATAGTCTTTGGTAAATTCCGGACTGGCAAAACTCAACTTGTGCACACTCTTTATGTAGCCATGTGAAGCTAATGGTAAAGTTGCTTAAGCTCCTGGAGGTAGAAAGTAACATTTAGATTTCCAGGATGAACACACATGCATAAGCATCAATAAACTTTTGTTAGCGGCTAAAATGACTAAACAGGCTAGGCTCACCACTTGACAAAAGCCTATCCTTATCTTGGTGGGCGCTGCAAGACTCTGTGAACAGCTAATGAATGACTGAATGAATATCCAACCATTGCTAAATTTTCAGTTTTCATAGTTTAAATAGATGTGTATCCATTTTAAGATTTAGCATTGGCTGGGCATTCACCAGGTCTGTTAGGAACCAGGATCCATATCTCCAAAGTTCAGGTCTATCATCAAATATAGTTTTCTTTTCTTTTCTTTTTTATGTTTTGGGATCCCAAGTGCTCCACTTTTCCATTTGTATGGCAGCCACAATGCTTGCCTGCTGCTACCTTCTCATCCTCTTTATTATGGTTGAAATCGAGGTGGAGGTGGAGTATGGCTGTTATGGCAAAGGCCTCGTTATGGTGGAACAGACTATAGTGGAGGCTGGCGGCAACCCTAGTTACAGTGGAGGATATGGTAACAAACCTGGCTATGGCAGAAAGCCCATGGTGGTGGCAATCCCGGCTATGGTGGAACTTATAGTAACGGTCCTGACAACAATGGAAGTGGATACTCTGGAAGTTCCGGCTATGGCAGAAACACTCCAGCCTTAGGTGGTGGTACTGGTGGGGGTCTACCCAGAACTTTCAGTGGCTCAAGTGGACCTTGGGATGGACCTACACTCACTGGTGCACCAATTTATTCTCAGATGTGCACCAACACCCTCGACTCTAGCTCATGCAAAAGAACTGGTGTGGGAGAATGTCTACTAAAGCGATCAGACTATACTATAAAATTACACAGACAAGGCTTGAGAATTGTCTCAGGCAATTCTAGATCACCGCCAGTAGGTGGAGCATCTTGATCTAAGCTGTAGAGAAGCTGTTTACAAATAACAGCTTCAGCAGGACCTCCATGGCAATGACCAGAAAATGGGTAAAAACATTTTTCTATACTTCTTTCATTTCTTATTTATGTTTACAGCTACTATATTGAGTCATATGATCTAAATGCCGAATTTACATTGAGCCTCATTGTGTTTTTTATCGGAAATTGCTCCAAGGTAAAACAACTAATGTGGTGATTACACATATGATCCAAGAAAAGCTTCCACTGTTTACACTTGTGTCAATGCAATGGAACTTGCTAGAACTTTACAGCCAAGGTAACTGATAAAAATCTATTCTTGTTCTTATCTGTCTCTGGATTCTGGATATCCTCCAGATATGATGTACCTATGAACAATTGTGATTTCGATGACAAGGGAAAACTTTGCAACTCCAGGGTTTTGCATTCTCTTCTCTTACTGCTTTATTTTAAAAAGTAATTAAATGTTCTTGTATCAGATGACCTTGAAGTTCTCATTTGTCAGATGCATCACGACTGCTAGATGTGTATCAAAATATGAGAAAATGGGAAAATGCATTAAACAGATGCCACTTTCATCGAAGAATAGGATATGAGATAAGATAAAAGAGACTCAGAATAAAATAAAAAAGATAACAAGATGTTATCACAAGAGCAAAAAATTACCATTGATTATATATTCTTTAGAGAAATGAAGTGGTGTCTTGTACAACTAGGAAAAGAAGAAACCTTTTGGTATCCAAAGAACTTGAATGAAATGGTCTTTGCAATTTATATTGGTTGCTACTTTAAGAGCACAAAGAAATATGGGTTTCTGAATTTGTAAGAGATACAAAAAGAAAGAGCTTTCAAAATCTTTTTCTGCTGTTGGTTTATTATTTGATCACTACTTTAGGGTCACAAGGTAAGCTCAGCTTTTATATAACCAAAAGGATAAAGAACATTGATTGAAAACTATTATCAGTATAGCATTATTGGTTGGTTATTTATCTATTTACCTATTTGCATCATCTATCGCTTGCCAATTGCCACAGTGTTGTCTATTTTTTTTATTGAAGTTAGTTTATGTAGTGGAAATTCTATTATATTTTGATGGGTAGAAAAAGGAAGTGAGTTATTTAGATATAAAATGCATAGGTCACATGTGATTAAGGGATTAGATGTCCATTTGCCAAATTTACAAAGAGTATAGTTTACTGAAGTTGAAGAAGAATTTGCATTAGAAAAGGTCCTAAGTGACGGAGGTTACCAAATGGTTTCAATTAAACAAAATGCTTTTGGTAGGACTCTAACATGCCTAGAAATTTTAGAATTGTATACATTGAATAAATCAACCAAAATATGGTCAAATAGATATTAAGATTGCAAAGTTATAAATAAAATATATAATAATATAAGCCACAAATTTTTCCTTTACAATTTCCTAGCCTACCTTATTTATCTAACCACCTTTGCTTTAATTTTAGTTAAGCTACCTTGCCAAAGTTTATGCTTATTATATGCCTACTTGGTTTTACTTGGGTTCAACTATGCATTATATGAGCAACAAGATGTTAGCCATCTCTTCACAAATTCCTAAATGCTCTCTTAATCCCCTCTTCAAGTTAAATTGGATCAGCTACACTCCCCACAAGCACAAACATCCAAGCACACTAAGCCTCCAGATTCCTAACATCCCTTGGTAAAACAAGATTTGTTCATGAGATCTTTTAAATCCAAGTTTTAGATGCATCTCTTAATTCAGGATCTTGGGGGCAAATATTTTGAGTTAATGGCCTAGTATAGGTATCTGAATTCCCTACCTCCATCCCAACGGGAGGGCTCAAGCCTCTAAGAAAGGGTGAGGATTAATGAGCCTTATAGTACTTAAGTAGGGCATCACTCCACTTGAGCTAGGAGCACTATAGTTAGTTTTCTTTGTGAGTTGCTCTTGAGCACTTCCTTTAGAAGCCTCTCTGGCACCCCTGAAGTTCATGCTCATTCCCACCAAAGACTACTAACCCCCAATTCTAATCTAAACGAAGTTCCGAAGCACCACTAGACTATAGAGTTTCTACAAGACTAAATCCTTAGCCTCACTCTCCTTACTATACTTTTGGAACCCCTCATGGTCTTCACTTTAATTTTGACTGAGTGTTAATCATGCATAGATATCCTTTTCACTTATGCTTAGAGCTATCTTATTTCTGAATAATTGGATTCAAGTAGTCATTTTATCCCTACTTGTCCATGATCCTTTTTATTGTACCTGGAGGGACAAGTATATAATTCAATGATATAAGTTTGGTATTTGGGTTTTATGAAGATAAATTGTAAAGTGATTATTGGTTGTTTTGCAACTACTGATTGCTTATAGATTTTATCGAGGATTACTGACACTTTACTTAGCTCAATGATAATTTAACAATGATGGGCTTGCTTCATTAGATGGCATTATAGAGGACCATTTCATTGTCCTTGCATGGTTTCTCCATGTTAAAATTTCGATTTTATCTCTGTTGATATTTGTTTTTTGCATTTAGTCTATAGTGTTGGATTATATTGAGTTTTGGATATGGTGATTCACTTCTTGATGTTATCTTATCTATAATTGAGTACTCCTATTTCACAGATTCACTGGAATACTGGCAGTTTTAAAGTTGGTGTTTGTCGTCAGCCCGCTTCTGGAATACCCCTGTCCCTT